AGAAACCGTATCCTGGTATTGACTGGTCTTGCTTGGTATGGCCTTGGTATGAGCTGAACGGGGAAGGTTCAGCGGACTGGCTTAGCTAAGAAACCAACGTCTTGAAAGTCTGAAACTGGAACTGGAACTGGCTGGCGTGACATGTCTGATGATCTTCTCTTTTCAGCCGAAGACAAGAAGACAATTGTTTAAACTATTACTCCGTAGTTTAACTAACTATCGAAAATTGCTGGTTGCTTTTTTGAACCGATGATCTTCCTCCTCTGCTGTTCGGCTCCATATGGACTAACTATTACGGAGCTTACTCCGTACTGGTTTTGTTTTTTCTCGCCCCGTACTCCACACGGAGGTTTCTACTTCTAGAGAAATCCATCCCAATGGCGTTTCTAGCTAGCTAATCAGGCCGTGTAGGATCAGGATGACGCGCCTCTTCTAGAATGTATGACTATTCGGGAGGAGATCGACGCATTCCTTGCTGTGCTTTGCATGCAAGCCCTGATATTCCTCTAGCGTTCAACTTCCGGATTGTCATTGACTCCCTATGATGTACGAATGAAGTAGCATGGCCTCTATACTTCTCTTCTCTTCTCTTTTCTTTTCTTGTTTTCTCTTCTCTCCTCCCTGTTTGGCTGGACAAATCATCTGTGGATTGGACTACTCAAAGTGATCATACATACAAAACTCCATTATGAGCCCCATCGGAAGACTTGATATCTAGGAGCTTCCCCATTAGTTTCCCTGGTATATGTACCCACGAAGGCCCGAGGCCTCCTCATCATATTCACACAAAAAGAGAAAAAAAGAAAGAAATGAAATCAAATGAAATAAGAAAAAGAAGAAGAAGAAGAAGAAGAAGAAATTGTCCATCCCATGCCATCATGCCTCGTTATCGTACACCATTGTCATCCTCGCATGCGCTCGTTCTCTTTGTGGTGAAGTGAAGAGGCTTGCTAGACAATGGGATATCTAAGCCTTCCTGGCAGTGGCTCTCCAGTTCTCCATCCATCTTTCCCATTCATCAACGGCCTCAGTGGCCTCGTCCAACTTTTTGTTGGCAATCTCTTCCAACTCTTGGAGCTTTCTGCGGAACACATGGTGCACCGAGAGTTTGACGGAGAGCTCGAAGGTCTCTTGGGCTGAATTGCCGTCCTGCTCATAAAGGGCAGTAAGCCTATCGACTTCGTCAAGAAGTTCCGAAAAGGTTTCTTTAGTGTGTTTTTCTGTTAGCATGGGTTCTTTGGTGGAAGAAGAGTATGGGTATTCTCACTCATCGACTTCTGTAGCTCCTCCGGCAGGCGCTGATTCGCGTTCTTCAACTCCTGCATCTCCACGCTTTCCATCTCCTGGCTTTCTTCGCGATGTTGGGTTGGCATCTTTGCTTTTCCTTTCTGATTGTCCTGGTCGTTCTTGGGTTTTTTGATTCTCTTTCGTCGATGCGCGTCAGCTACAGTTGATAGTAAGTGAGATTAGTTTTCATCCCTTTCTAGATTTCAGAATCTATATGGGCATTCTTACGATCGTTCTCGTCCACTACTCGGCGGTGCTCGCAGCGTTTCCTCTTTCTTTTGCAGTCGTCGCAAACTCGGGTCAATTTCTTTCCTGGCTCTAGAGCTGGTGTGGGGGGTTGGAATCGTTTCTAAACACAACACACCCCGTTTAGTATCATGCTATCTTTCTATCACGTGTTGTATCTTTGCAAAAGGGGATGGATATCTGAGCTGTTTGGGTTACTCACTTTTGTACCCTTTATGCACCCAGTGGAATTTTTGAAGTGGGATCATTAGTGAATATTTCTTGAAAACACGATGCATCGCAGAATCTTTACTAACCCGATTGGCTTGCGCAACTTCAAGACAATCCTCACAAACTGGAGTATTGTAGAGGGTTGTGGTTGCTTCAGCATCCCAACATCTAGCACACACCTTGGTGTATTTGTCTGAGGCATCTTCTGAATGTACCGAGCAGGCATCATCTCCTGCGTCAGAGTGACCTGGGTGGATACCATCGTGTTCTGATTTTAAATTAATCGAACGGACATCATCCTCTGCTCCCGAGAGTACCGACCGGGCATCGTCTTCCGCCTCTGCAGTATTGCCGTGTGCTTGAACAGACGGGGTAGACGAAACGCTCTCAGAGTCGGAGGCATCTTCACCCTTCCCCTCTGGCAGAAGCTGCTTCTTACAGCCAAAACAAAGTCCGGATTTGGCATGGATACCCCTTTTGTTGCAGAACTTGCCGCAATATTTGCAACGTGCAGCCATTTCGTCGTCTGGCGTACAAGCCCTAGAATCTAGTATTATTGGGCTGCCCATTGCTAGCGAAGTCTCAATTCTGCTCTTCGTTCTGCTGATATTTCCCTCTCCTTAACCAGAGATGGCTTGATATCCGCGCCGACAAGTAGTTTTTTGGGGGGTTGAAGCAAGGGGTTTTTACCTCTGAAAATTTATCTCTTTCGTTCGCTTTCCTGGTCTACTTACGCCACGGTATAAGTAGTCCGGCAAAGGAGATTGTAGTGAACCTAATGCATTGAATGTTAGCCAAGAACGTGGACAAAAAAGGAAGCACGGTATAGTTGACAAACATTCCACCTGCTCTCTTCCAGTGCCGAAGATAGCACTCAAAGAAAGGGACAAGCAGGGGCTGTGCTGCAAAGTGGTGGGGAAAAAAACATACCCTGGAAATACAATGAACGCTTCTTTTCGAACAATGATGCAGGCTGGCTTGCTGGCAGATCACCCGAACAAAGGCTTTATGTCGAATCTTAGATGATCTAGGCACCGTACCTTGATTATTCTAACCGCCTTCTTTTGTTTGTGATGACACTAAACAAGCACAAATGGATATGGGGAGGAGACAATGAAACAGATCTCTAAATGCCCTTGTCTGTAAAGTATCTACCTGACAGCAGCCAGAAGAGAATCTTTATCAAAGATGAGATGTGCGATAAAGGTTGTAAAGAAACTCAGGGGTGAACAGTTGGGTGTTGGATGAGGGAGGCCAAATAAGGGGGGAGTGTGTGGGAGAGCACGTGTGTTAAGCGAAGCTATGAGAGCTGTGTGTTTATCCCGGATATCACCGTCTACATTTATCGAAGAGTGTGCAAATACTGCCAGTATCATAATGATCTTGAAGTGAAGCATTTTCAGTTCTTTTCATGACTAGGCTAGGATCAAATGGCTGGCCCTCCCCTGACTCTATACCCAGTTCTCTTACACAATCCTGAGGCTCATATTTCAAGCAAATGGGCTACTATCATGCGCACCAAGTAACCTGACTGTGCTTTTCGTTGCCTTGAATTATACACAGTCTGATCATTGCACATTCTATCATGGATACAGATATTGGAAGGCCACCTGCTATCCTATCTAGAAGCTTTCATACTAGACAGAAGCGGAGCCATATCCCATGGACCCACGTTTCTATCTCTTCTAGCTTTCCTTTTTCTTTTCATTTTATTAGATGTGGATACAGGTATTAGGTTATTTAAGGCCATAGTTCTTCTTCTACCCAATGCCACTGTCCATCCTCATTGTTCCCTGTAACAAAGTCTGTTTCTCCTGTGCCTTTTGTCAACTTCCACCGGAATCGCGTTGATTTACCAATTTCCGATAAATCGATAACCTCCACTTCGTTTAGTACGATAACCACGACTCTGAAATTCTTCCTGGCAACAGGATCATGCAGATCATGGACCATTTCACCTTGTTTCAGATCTGGATCGTATTTGGTAGCCGATTTGGAGGAGCCTGGCAAGGGGTTTTTGAACGAGCCTATTTTAAAGTTGATCAGTATGTAAGGTCAATCCTTTTTTTTGGTTGTGGATTGTTTGAAAATGGGCCGTAGCTTCCTATGAAGCAATGGTGACCCGGTAGGTCTTCAGTGGAAATCACTTGCTCAAAGGAGCGCCATTTCGGTTGTTTGATAAAGAGAAAACGACATCCATATGAAAGATACAACGGCATCCCCCATGCAATTTCTTTGTGCTGGAGTATATGTTTAAGGGATAAAAAAAAGTTCATAGAAGATTAACGTACCTCTCATCATGGGTGCAATATTAGCAAAATGAGCAGTGACCTCCTTCTCCCAGCTCCATTGTTCAACATTGCCAGATTGTTCGCTCTGGCTCTGGACATTCCGTACGCGCAACCATTTCTTAATTTCTTCTCGTCCAGCATCTTCTAAGGGGTCCAGAGTTCTATCTCCCCCAATAATATATGCCTTCCCTTTCAATCTCCATTGGGCGGAAACCTCTTTTACCCAAAACAAGCATTCGACATCTCCACCTAGCTCATCCCCAGCTTTTCCTCTGATCTGCCAAATTTTTGCCATTCGTATATCGGTGGAAAATGTCGGCATCTCACTTTCGTAGACTGCCGGATTCATGCCAGGGTCGTCTTCACTTGCCGAAGCTGCTATATCCTTTTGGGCAGACGGATGAAGGTTTAACTCGCCAAAAAAACCACGGAAAATACACATTCTAACCCGTGGGAGTGGTATGCCGTTATCGTCCTTCCAGACAGTTGCCAGGGAGAATTCAGTAGCAGACATCTGTGACACATGCTTCTGGAAGAGCGCATGCCATGGTGCCCTCGGGGAAGGTGATGAAGGTGACATTTGGCACGACTAGGTTCCTAGCCCCAAAGGATAGAGCTGGAAGAGGTATGTGATGAGTTCAAGAAGCCACTAGTCCTGTCATTCTAAATGATATAGTTAACTAAATATTCGAAATCATCAACCTGTTGGTTGGCACGATCTACAGAATTGCAAGTAGCCCCGCCAACGCCCTAATTCTTCTCCACTTTGAACTGAATGCCTTTGTTATCCCCGCATGGTGTCCCAACATCCCATGGTACTACCTGTAGCGTCCTTCGGCCTAGACCAAGTGTGCAAGAAAATCAACTGGTTAATTAGGAATGTATATCGGTATTATTATATTCATTGTGATAAGGGAGGACAAGAAAAAGGAGAAGTGAAAGGAGAAGTGAAAAAAAAATCCAAAGTGGACATTAGGGGAATCGAACCCCTGCCTCCTCGTTGCGAACGAGGTGTTCTACCACTAGACTAAACGCCCATAATTCTCCTCAATGTTCACATTATTGCCAATTTCAGATAATTCTTTTTTTCTGATGGGAAAAATACCTGTACACCGTTGTTCTCCAAAAAGGTTTTTTCTGAAAATTTGGCAGACCAAACGTCTAGCAAACTACCTTGTTAAAGAGAGTAACTGATTTGACCACCCCGTACTCTGTCCCTGGTAACAAGTTAGCGCAATCGAAGAAATATTGGTATCGATAAGATGGGCACGTGACCTCCTTGCGTGAAGCTTCGATTCTCTCTTCCAGCTTCATCGTTGAGCTTCATTCATGTTATTACCTTGATCCGATTAGACTTGTGTTTTTACCTGGAAATCTACTAAATCTACCACTTTCCTCGCGTCGCAATGCGTCTCACCGTTGAATTGATTCAAAACTCACTCTCGTATATCAACCCATTAAAGGAGCGCGAGCTTGACCTTCGAGGTGCGTAAATCTTTAGTAAACCTGAAAAGAATCAGATACTACACTTTTTCAACTCCATTTAAGAGCTTCATTGATACTATCAATATTCCTTTGTTTGGGGAGAGGATGAGGAAATATAGGTCACAAAATTCCTATTGTTGAAAACTTAGGCGCTGCGAAGGTGAGACGATTGATATTCCTCCCGTGCTCTTCCTTTTTTCCCTCTCTTGAAACCAGAGAGAGAGAAAAAAGGGTGGCTGGCGTGACATTCATGCTGACGGGATACGGCATAGGACCACGATGCAATTGATTTTACGGATAACAGTATCTCTTCGCTGTCCAATTTCCCTTCTTCACCACGACTCCGAACTCTCCTCCTAGCCCGAAATCGCGTCTCACATATCCAGTCCGGACTGGCAACGTCGATTCCGAACCTTGCAAACCTCATTCTCACAGCAAATAATTTTGCAGAACTAGCCGATCTAGAGCCGTTGAAGAATTTTCAACACTTGACGCATCTATCCCTCCTAGATAATCCTGTGACGAGGAAAGAAGTGAGACGACTCCCCTCCCCCTCCCTCCCGGTCTTCATAACACCTGTGCTAACAAAAATTGGGTTTGGTTTAGCATTATCGATACTGGATAATTTGGCTAGCCCCAACAGTCCGCTTCCTAGATTACCGTAAAGTTAAAGATGCTGAGAGGGAAAAAGCCAGAGAACTCTTTGGTCCATCCACCAGCGAACCTACACCGCTAGCGTCGAAAATAAAGGGTATCAAATCCAGCACTGCCTTCAATGTAGATTCCGTTGCGAGAACAACAACATCTACACCCGGCGCCGAAGATGGCGGGAGACCCATCCGTGTGAAACTGACCCCTGAAGAGCGAAATACGGTTAAGAAAATGATTAAGGAAGCGAAGAGCTTGCAGGAGATAGCTAGGTTAGAGAAAGAGTTGAACGAGGGACGAATACCGCGGGGTGTTGCGGTGGAGCTGGATAGAGATGTTGAGATGAACGCTTCATGATATATGTCCTTGATTAATTCTTCTTTCAAGACCAAGGAATAAAATAATATCTTTCAGCCGTTTTACCATTTCTACCCGTTTGCCTTTGAATTTGTTTTCTCGAGAGTGGAAAAAAAAACAAATAATAGAGGTGTTGGATTCTAGCCAACTCTTGATGTCATGAACCCCGGGACAGAATATGTACAAGATATTCATACAAGCAATTAAAAAAATAATACTGCGAAAGAAAGAAACGATATATTAACAGGGCACAAACTTTTAGGTCCCTAAGTTCAATTGAGCGAAAATCAATTCACCTGGATAATTCCGTCCGTTGGCTATCATGCCTGCCCCCCCGAAACACGCCAATTAAAATCGTAAAATGAGAAGAGAACACATTAATCAAACATTAAGTCGAAGTTGAGAGGTAGGAAAAGAAGGTGAGAAGAAACGAAAAAAGAATGTTAACCGGGTATAATGGGGGTTTTAAGTCGAGTAGGACTTGTTGCTCGTGACCTCCGTCCACTAAATGTAGGTGAAAGGGCGAAAGGGGCTAGTCTTTCTCTGCTCTCTGTTCTTATCACGAGTCCATTTCTATCCAAGTTATTATTTCCGATGTCAAGAGCAGATCCCACGCTGAGAGAGGAGGTGTTGTCAAGGTTATATTTGAGAAGGTGGTGGTGATTTCGACCACCGGATGTCGGTATGGATGAAGAGGGTCGTCGTTCTCCCATGGGCGGTGATGCAGATAATTGAGACTCTTCATCCGAGTCAATACTACTAAGCTCAAAATCTCCATGAGCTCCTTCTTCGAGAAGCCGTTCATATGAGACCGGCGCTGGATGCCGCGAAAGAAATGGGATTTTTCCTCCAAAAATGGGGCCTTTGCTTCCAAATGGTCCTCTGCCGGGCCGTAGGAAGAATTTGCGATACAGGCGTGATCGACGTTCACGGCCACACAGGAAGAAAATAGCGATTATCACAATGACAGAAAAGAGGAAGATTCCGGGTATACGGCGGGGTGACTCCCCGGCGAAAAGGTTATCATGCCAATGGTCACCCCCTATAGTAGTACCATTGCTATAAGTGCTTGGGGGCTTTGGTAAAAACGAGGGTAATGATGGAGCAGCTGGGTGCTGGAAGTCGCTTGGGATACGGCCAGGTTCATTGCTTCCAAACCCGACAGGCAAACCATGATCACCCGGTGGTACTTGGGAGGACGCAAATAGAACGGCTTTGCCCAATGTCCAGCTAACTTCGGTTGAATCAATCTTGTTCACGGCCTGGAAGGGTTTAACGAAACCTTTGGTTTTGGCATGCTCCAAGAGTTGTTTTGTCCCATTGTTACTGCTAGCAGTACTTTCAATCTCAGCGCGAGGTATGCCGATGCCATCATGAAGTATATTAACGATCCACGCAGCCTTGAAACACACTTCGTAAGCAGCTTTTTGATCAACTTTTTTACCCCACTGCTTATCCGACACTCCTTTTTTGATCGAGTTCCAATCTTGTGAACAGAATTTCTTGACTCGTAGTTGGTATGTTTCGAAGTCATATGCCTTGTCCTTGTAGCCCATGTCAAATATCTCATGTGTTGTATGCCAATATTCGCTGATACCCACAAAATGATTGACGTCGAAGTCAATAGCAGGTACGTGGACTCCACCAAGTAGACAAGGTTCATCTTCACATGGAACATCTTTGGCAAGTAGGGGGATCGTTTCGCGCAAGCAGGAATCGAATTCACCCGTCCCCACTAGATAGGGCTTTGTTCCTGGAACTAAACCGTGAGATGGAAGGATGGATCCTTCTGGAGTTGTTCGCAATCCTACAGGGAGGCAAGGATCGGGACGTTGTTTATTTTTGGAGTCGATGGGGTAACTTTTGAGAAGGGCCTCCACATAGCGATTCCTTGCTTGCCTAACACCAAAACCAAGCCAGGAGGTGACAAAAACACCATAATCAGTCGAGTGGCCATTGATAGCTCTCAGGCGTAAAAGTGTCAGGTCATCTGCGTGTTTTTTGGCCTCTGTAGCATTGGGGGCAAAAGCTAGCTGGGCGGAAGCACCACCCATGTCTAGAAAGCCATATGTGTGATGGCCCTTTCCATGATCGTGTTCCGTTGGCTTATCGAATCCACCTAGAAGATAGTTGGTTGCAATCCACCCGTACAGGCCCTCTGTTTTCCCATCGATGACTTTGACATGCAAGTCACAGTCAGGAAGTAGAAATTTAGTAGAATCCCGCATATAGGAGCAAACATTATGAAGAATTTTATTCTGGTCTGATTTTGACAGCAATCGCATACCAGCAGTTGCGAGAAGGAAAATCGGGGTATCTGGGATGTCATCGGGATGAATTATATCGATCACATGTTCCAGCAGAGGTTTTAAATGGTCTGGCCCAACTTTTTCTGGTTTTTTGGCAAATTCGGAAACTCCTATACAGATCATCAGACTAGGTTGGTGACAAGGGTAAGGGAAAAAAAGAAGCCTCAAAAAATATTCATACCAGGCCGAATCTTTTTTGCCCAGCCGTTCTCTGTGCGGACTTTAGGCAAAGCTATCAACTCTTTAGCACTACCGCGTGCTAGAGATGGATCCACCCAGTGGTAGATGTGAGCTCTTGTCCCCTAAACCCCAGATGCACCAAGCTCAGCCAACTATTCTCCTCAGCAAGGGACGGGTGGAGATGTACTTACGGACGAACCAGCGTCCAAGACGACGGCATACTTCCCTAAAAGCGTCCCAGTAATCGTTAGCCAAGGAAAATGGAGAGTTGGGTGGTGAGTAACAAAGCTCGCAAAACATACACTTTCCCATCTAGTGATCCTCAAACCATGCTTTTACTTCCAATAGATAGGTTTTTTTCGTTTTTGAACCTGTGCCGAGATTCAATTTCGCGACTCGCAATACAATAATTAATTTGAGAGAAATGATCGAATTGAATGTCGGACACCCGTGGATGACGGAGATTTCAACGAGAGGCTGAAATGGAGTATTTCGGTTGTAACAAGGGTGAAGTTAGTATCCGAAGGACTTTTTTGGGGACAAGTTCAGCCTGATAACGAGTGGGAGGCGGTGGAACGATTGTGAGGTGTGGTATAGGAAGATCGATTCGATATCTTCGATGACGCAAAAAGGAGCAAGAAAAACGTATTAAAGGAGTTGAAACGGGCAATGCTCGACAATTGATAAACCGAGAAAGAAGAAGAAGAAGAAATAGAAGGAGAAAGGAGATGAAGAAGGACAAGAAGTAAAAGATAATTGCGCAAGGAGGATTGAGGAGGGGAAATCGATACATTTCCCATCGAGCGACTTTCTTGCTGACATCGAGTTTGGCAGGCGTAATGTCCGCCAAGCCCCGGTGATCCGTATTGTCTCATCCAACACCGTATACCAGCGTCACGTGGCTTCCGCCCTGTCGCGATGACGCGTTCGTCCGGGCGCGCATGGCTGACTCAGCATGCACGGCACGCCAAGAGGCCCAAGCGGTCTTGGCTCTTTCCTTCCCGAAGCATAGTCACGTGTAGTTACTTTCAATTAACATAATCCACCCCTCAACCGAA